CGAGTGTCAATGATTCTTGTGATTTACATTTCAACAGTCTTCAACTGAGCAGATAAGATCCTAGGAATTTGAATTCAGTCCAACTATAGCTGCATATTTATAGAATCTGTTATATCTCTCCTTATATAAATAAGAAGACTTGTACATTGAATCAACTAAGAAAAGAAATATTATTTCTAAAAACTCTATCTAAAATTCTACATTCTACAATATTGTTGAAGAATAGCACTATAATACTTGGGAAAAAAATGGTATTATAATGATAGTTACTATTTAAGTCAAGTTATTTCTTTTAAAGTTAGGAATGCATAGACGTCTACACTCTCTAAATCAACATCACATTTACTACTCACGTTTTGAGGAGGCTAAGAGAGAGAGAGGGGGAGAGTAGAAATTCAGGAGTACTTGCAGCCCACATTGCATCCAAATTTTGGTATTTGGGGGTATATGACAGAAGATCGTGAGATTCATTAAGCTGTTTTTTGCATCTATCTTTTAGATTTTTAATCATGCTAAGACGAGATCAATCTAGAGTGATCTCGAAGGTAAACCCTAATTCCGCTTTGCAGGGTTTTAATGGAAAAAATTTTGTATTTGATATATAGACGTTGTCAATGATTCTTGAGACTTGCGTTTCAACAATCTTCAGCTGAGAACATAAGATCCTAGGAATTTGAATTCAGTCCAACTATAAATAAGAAGACTTGTTTATCTCTGTTACATCTCTCCTTCTATAAATAAGAAAACTTGTACATTGAATCAATTAAGAAAAGAAATACTATTTCTAAATCTGTATCTAAAATCCTATATTCTACAATATTGTTGAAGAATAGCACTATAATACTAGGGAAAAAAAATGGTATTATAATGATTGTTACTATTTAAGTCATGTCTTTTAAAGTTAGGAGTATAATTGTTGAATATAAATCATGATTGATCATAAGTTACTGTATTCATCAGTAACTTCACATTTAAAAATTGTAACTTTCATGATCAACTATAACATTTTATGACTAACGGCCTTTGAAGTGATAAAATTACATCCCAAAAATTATAATTTGGCCTTAAAACGATCTAATTTATAGTGTGGTACTGCTTTTTGATACTGTAATCTTCTTCATAAAACGTTCTAATTTATAGTGTGATTACTCTTTCTGATACTGTAGTCTTCTTCTTGTTACATGTGTTGCGAAATATTGGATTTTCTGCCCTATCCTAGAGACTACGGAGATTGAATCGGGCGTTTACCAGAACCTAGAAATGGCCTGTGTCTAGGTCAAGGGTGGAGGCTAAAGGATGTTCGTCAGTTTTTCAGCTGAAGTGCTTACCTCAACGAATGAATCTCCAGCTGAAAAAAAATTGAATTTGATGAGTTTTCAGATAGCTTCAAATATCTCACAGAACATTACAAACTCAGGTGACCATCCAGAAAACTAACCATACTCAAGTATATTTTGCCAAATCATGGGCGAAGAATTTATTTCTAATCTCACGAACAACAGCAGCATCCTTAAAAACATGGAAACCCGAGGGATATTTGCATAAATAGCTATGAAAGGCTAAAAGAGTGAGGCATCCTTATCACGAACAACGGCAAGCGTGTTACAACAATCACCTTACAGTGCAACATTCCTAAAAAAAATGACGACCCAATGCAACGATAAAACAATTTAAACCTCGAATACAAAATCTAGCGTTTATGCTTGGCTGGTTAAATCAACGAACCCATCAAATACAACCACGTCATATTCTATGGGCAAATCGAAGCATAAAACATTGCAAGAGAGACAATAAACAAAAAATCAGAAGCAGCTGTATTCTATAGTTTGATAGCCAGGGCTGGCAATCATTTTCAAAGCAGACAAATATAAGAGTTTACAGTGCACCAAAAGAAAAATCCATGGAATAGTTGGAAAGCATCGTATATGTTTAACATGAATGATACTAATAATTCTCACACTGCTACGACAAAAGGTGCATTCAGCTCTGGTGTCACTTGCGCACTTCCACTTTCTTCAATTTCCAACCTTCCATTACCATCGCATTCAAATTCATGAAGATCTTGATGATTTTCAGGACGTTGGCTAGACAGTAGATATGCTACACCCTGCACAAGATCCACGGCTGCACCCTTGACCTGAGGAAGCAGCTACAGCGCCCATTTGCTTGCAGTCATCGCTAAAACCTTCACCAATAAGTGCCCCAATAGAATCTTTCAGGATGGAAAGGTCTTTACCATGCTCAGTGTTAGGACCATGATTTATATTTGAAATACTCTATATGTTTCACGAGGTTTTGTGTTTAGTGTTTGTTTTACAGGACTTTGGTTCTTTCAAGTTCATATTTATGAAGATAGTCTTCTCATTAGAGAGAGTAATAATGTACTCGAGTTTATAAGTTTAGGTTATAACAGTTCGACCCGAGTAGACAATCTGGCCTGGAAAAAATCATCTGAGGTTGCACTTCATCCTTTCCATTGTCCCATGCAGAAACCCAGTCAACTGGTTCTTGCTTAATTTTGAATCCTTCAAGATAACACAGGACATCACATCAATATAAAAGCGAACTTCATCCACAATGCTAGTTCTCAACTCAACCAACTAATACTACTGTGAAATAAATTATTCTCACCTGGCACAGTCACGGCTGACTGGTGTTCATTAGTTGAGCTTCTACTGATAGATTCGTGTACACTGAAAACTGATGCAGCAGAATAACCCAGAGGAGAGATTGGATCACCATACACTTCCCATCCTGTCCGATGGAGATTCTGAGTCAAAGTGTCCACTACATTGTCAGGGGTAAGAGAGGCATTAGGAGTCTGCTGGCATGAACTGTTCTTTGAGTTTTTCAGTGTTTGCGACTCATAAAGTACAGCTTCTAACAGGCCACTGTTCCGTGATGAAAGACAATCGAGTTGCATCTGCTCAGTGGGAGGGGACCAGATCAAAGTATCAACAGACTCGCGAGAAGGCAGCGGGGAAGGTGACCCACAGCTGCCTACTTGAGTGTCTGAATATTGGAGTGAAGGGAGCTCCAGCTTCATTGCCCATGAGAAGGGCTCCGAAGAAGAGGAATTGCCATTTAAAAGTGCATGGCTGCCTGGAAGTAAACATGAAGTTGATGGGTGGTTGGCATGAATATTATGATCATATGCACAGGAAAACCCAAGGGAGTGAGCAAGCTTCTCACAAGCATCATCTTGATATTGATTAAATGCTGGAAAGAGATCACCCAGACTACCACTCAAACCAGTATGCAAGGACTCTGATTCTCGAAGACGCTTGGCTGGATGCATCATTGCGAAAGAAGAGTTATTGCTATGGAAGGAACCAGGACTGTGAACAAGCAAGCTATTCCCAGAAACATCAAGAAGTGATTGTGGATACAATTGCTGATTGAGTTCCAAATTTTTGAATTCCACAGACGGAATCTCAAAGTGGTTGCTCAGTAAGAGATCAGGGCTGGGTCTGTCCTCATAAGAGAATGTACTCACGTTCTGACTTTGTTGGTCCTCATTTAATGCTTGCAAACAGATATCAGGAGGGTAAATTGACAAGCCAGCGCGCTGTCGTCTCTTGATTCTAGTGTTCCAGTAGTTCTTTATCTCATTATCGGTGCGCCCAGGCAGCTGAAAGGGAATAAAAATGAATAGTAAATAAACCAGACAGAAAAAGAATGACACTAACATTTTGTCCATTTCAACCAAAGACAAAACAAAAAACTCAAAACCCATCTATAATGCTGCATAATGCAATTGAATATTGGTAAGCTTGTATTGCTGAATATCATCCTCACATGAGCAAGGCTGCACACGCATTTAACTAATACGAAGCTTTACCCGAAAAAAGCACAACAACATGGTATGTTTTCCTGTATCATATCCACGACAAACCTTTCCAAAAGGCAAAATAAGGAGCATTACTTTCAAAATTTCCAGCATATAACCACAGATTTACCAATTCAGATAATAGATATATATGCCCTGTTTTGTGGAGGATGCCAACAAGCTCAAAAACCATCTATCACCTGTGACATATGCTTTCAAACACGATAATCCTCGACATTCCCAGAAATATTTTGGTAACTTGTCAAGCGTGTCCAAATCTTTTTTGGGAGGAATTTAACAACATACAACGGGCCAAAGCAAGTCAAGTTGAAACATACATCATCAATGAAGGAAAAAATCCTGGCTGTGGAGACAAGACAAGTGATCGACACACTTCGAAATAAATTGGTGACAGATTCTAAATGTCTATTTTATTTTTAAAAGAAGCATAAACCCATACACGACTAAAGCAAGTCAAGTTGCAATCAAACGATTGCAAAAGAATATCACTGAAAAAGAAAGAAGATAAGGCAGCAGTCCCCTACATTAAAATTCAAGAACTATAGATATAACACTCATGAAGATTCATCTTCTATATTGTACAACTAATGGCCAGTCAGACAGTCACGTCAGACGTCAGGGTGTATGAACAGAACTTCTTTGATTACTTGGATGCACCATTCAAAGTAAAACATACGATTTTGTAAACCAAATATAAAGATCGTGAATGGGCTTAGAAGCGCATCAAGACGTGGTGGGCAAAAAGGGACACAATCAATAATTCAATACACTTTCAATTAGGCCTTGCTCTTGCTACTTTAAGCGTTATTATTTCCTTGGTAGCTCAACTCCTAGGAGTAAGCACGGATACGGGTATAATATGATACGGATACTATAAAGTGAACGTGATCAATTAAAGGAATAAGAATCAACATTTAACTATATTGTTTGCTTAGAAGTATTTGTTGCTAAAATTATAAAGCAATTAACTCATTTAAAGTACTCTTTGAATATGTGATAGTGGATAATACTTGGAAAACACCCATGTGTCTTCCAAATCATATGGCTTTTTGTTGATATATTGCATAGTATGTGAAATCAAAAGGAAGGAGTAAAGATTAAAACTAAAAAATATACATCCTTCTCTGCATATAGAAGTATCCAAATATTTTATTTATTATTGGATACGTCAAATGTGTATCCGATATGTATATTTGAGAATCCGACGAGTATCGTATTCGATACGATAGTTGATACAGATACGTCGAGTATCCATACTTCATAGCTCAACTCATATGATAAAAAATAGAAATATACCATGACAACTGATAAACTAAGAAATCTTCATGGCATATGAACGGCAATTGAATACCTAATTGGAAAAGCTAGCCAAAGAATCAATCATCCCAAATAAACCTAATGATGCACCAATTTATTATAACACCTCATATCTGCATTGTACATCATAATCTACTTTGGACTAAGCCTGGACAGCTTTAAAAAACGATGTACAACGAAAACCTGAGTTTCAGACTTTTGTGTTTCCCACTTAGTTTAGTGTGTGTGGAGCATTTAATAAGTCTGAGATTGAGACCACTATTGCACATGTGTTAAACCGTGCAAGTCTAGCTCAAAGGAATAATATTGTATAGTCTGAGTCCAAATCGTTACAAATGGTATCATAGACACTGACCCTCATGCGTGGACGCTACATGTTGCGCATCTCTTGATGCACTACAATTAGACACAGCAATGGCTTTGGGACAGTGACAGCTAATATGACAGGAGAATTCCAACGAAATTCAACACCTCTTGGGTCACGAGGATGTTTGGACTTAAGGGATGGATTGTAGAGACTCAGTCACACATTACTCGGTGAAGTGTGTCGACATAATAAAATAGAGTTGTGGACCTTCATTGGATAACCCGCCTCAAAGTAGTGCGAACATAGCCTAAAGTGGACAATATTGTACAATATTGGGTCCACGATGTCACATAATCGGTAGGATGTTCTCTCCCTGAAGTTAAGTCTTACTGAAAAAACTTTAAAAATTACACTGCTCTTTATAATCATTAATACACCTAGAACTACTTTGTAACATGTGATCAATTGACGCTCCTAGAAATGCTTTGGACACAAACTGTACATGTCTAAATCATTTCAAAAGAAATATAAATCCATAAACGACTAAAGCAAATCAAGTTGCAATCATACGATTGGAAAAGGTAGCCAAAGACTGATCTTCTTGGAGAAACATAATCATGCACAAATAAGTGGAACTGATTTTAAACTCTAAAAATAACACTAGGATATAATCTTTAATACACTTGAGCACCTGTTAGGCCAAAAAGGTCACAATGATTCATAATTTTTGCTCGAAAGAACATTACTACAAGGGAAGAACATGACAACTGTAAAGAGAGCTTGTACTCCATATCGAATAATTAGGACCACCAAGACTGGTTATGAGGGACTACCCACTTATTGTCAATTGATTTTAGGTTGGATGTTTTACCATGGTATCAACTTGGGTGGCCAGTGGGATAAGTCTCTTACTTGTTTGAATTTTTCGGCATGCATGGTTGTTTGTTTATTTATTTATTAGCCCCACTTATGAGCTCAGATCCCACACGAGGGAAGGTGTAAAGAGAGCTTGTATCCCCCATCAAATAATCAGGACCACTAAGTTTAGTTTATATACTTGAGGGGTTACTCTAGTCATTTCTAATTGGTTTTGGATTGAATGCTCTAACAACTACATGGTCTATATATGCTAAAAAATCGGGTTGTATCTGTCTCCTAGAAAATAACATAATAGAAGACCAGCACAAAAAGGGCACAAAATGGAGGTTTTAACCAGGTCTTTTATGGCATAATTAAATTATGCTACTAAATTATATCTTAGTACAAAATAGACAAGGCATAGAAAAAGACTTTTATTATAATTGACTTTTCAGTTTGAGGATTCAAAATCACTTCCCTTCGATACTGTAACAGTTGTATTTTGACATTTATGAAATTCTCTGGAATTTCATCATTTATATCTTAAACCATCTATCTCATGCCAAAAGTTTTTGAGATATCATTTATAATAAATTCACATAACTCATAAAAGAAAAAGATGCATGCCTATATGCAACGAACCTTATTTGGGGTGGATTGTGGGGGTAGGGAGAAATGCATGAGACCTATATCATTAAAGAACATATTAATTTTCTATGACAAAACTGACAGATTCTGACATCCTAACACACCTCCGCAGCCATTCGAGCCCATTTGTTTCCCATCTTGGCATGGAGTTCAATGATATGGTGCTCTTCCTCAGGAGTGAATGCACCTTTCTTAAGATCCGGTCTAAGGTGATTTGCCCAACGTAGACGACAGCTTTTCCCACATCGGGACAGTCCTGAGTGCTTCTGGACAGCATTCCAATTCCCTTCTCCATGCTTGTTGACATATGCTGCTAAAATTGCATCTTCCGCGGATGTCCATGGCCCTTTCTTCAGTGGACCACTTCCTGTCACATTTCCTCCACTGCTAGCTGCAGATGGCGAATCTATGCAACCCATCGACATAATCTTGTCATCACTTCCACTTGTAATACTCATCTCCTAAAGTGCGCAACAAAAGAACGAAACCTGCACATTAGGGGGGAAAAAAAAGCAGAGCGAAGAATGTAACATTAATACAAAGTTTTTAACATAAAACAAAATATGAGGAACCAACAAAAATAAGAAACCCCAATATTAAGAGGCAACAATTAAGACAGATATTCAGTGCACAACAAGTACAAAGCATTGCTGAGAATAAAAATGGAATGCACTTTTTCAAATTTCTTTTATAAGCTAATTATATCTCAAAATATACTAAAAATGCAGAAGCGACTCAATTAACTATGTTAAAAAACACAACCTTAAAATGAGCACAGGTCAAACTAAAGTTTCAAAACATATGATCCCATCAATGCCTAAGAGTGGAACTTATCAGAGAAATACAAGAAGAAACCAACAAAAATAACAAATTGCCAATATTAAAAGAGTAACCAGTGAGATGAATACTAAGAATACAATGAGCATAAAGATTTAGCTGATAACATAAACAGTGCATTTCACAACCACCGAATCATATAGACAGAAACACTACTAGAAAATCCTCAACATAACCCAATGTGTTCTTGAGCTTAAACCTTCAAAGGTGCACATCAACAGTAAAATCCCATTCTTACTGGCGAGTTAAGATTACAACCAAAATTAAGGGTGGAACTAACAAATTTAAGAAACAGCCAATATTTAAAAGCAATCATTCTGAGACGTACTCGGAGTATGAAAAAAACATGACTGATAACATTATCGGAATAAAGGTTACTGTCTAATGAACCAGTAACAATTCAAGAAACACAAGGAAATATACTAAACACAATTTTTCCAAATCTAAACGCTAAAATCTGCACACTTTCAAACAAGTTCCATACAGACAAAATCATTGTGTAATATAAACACAACTAGAAAGAGTTAACAAAGAAATAATCTGAACTTGAGTATATGCTATGAAGACTCATAGACCCACTGTATACTCAACTCAACAAAATTTTATCCCAACTATGTGGATTGTCTACATGAATCTTATTTTTCCATTGTACTTTATCGAGGGTTATTTTTCATTAAATCGTGAGCTATCATAGTTTTTTCACTATTTTTGTTCAAAGTTAATTTCAAACTGCCACTACCACTCGCATTCGAATTGATGTGTACCAAATCACTCTTTCTCACTAGTACATTACTAAGTTTTTTTAAACATATCTAAATCAACTAAATTTATTCTTTCTTAATTTTTCCTTCTATCATTTCACGACTATATTCACTCTAAATTTCTTTCACTTCCTATTTTAACACATCCATCTTAACATCCTCATTCCTACAACAATTTGTTTTGGGGTGCTTTTTTCTAATTCCCCACATTATGTACCCTAAAATATTGTTGATCTAATGGTTGTTTTCTAAAACTTCCCTTTCAACCTAAGAGTTCACAGATCCATTTTTTAAAGATGCAAAATCCTGAAGCACTTTCAGAATTTTGCATCATGTGTTACGATAAAAATTATGCAGTCGTAGAAGTTTTAGGCAAACAACCATGATAGTATTTGTAGAAGAGTAAAGACACAACAAGGAGACTATGAGTTCAAATTCAAGGGCAACTACTTTTGCAAATAATGCCAAAGATTAGGACCAAATTGGGTAAAGTGAAATTCCCAACATCAAAAATAATTAGCATCAACATTTGCCCATATATACATGTGCCCATGAAATACAACACAAAATATGAGAAAAGCGAAGATTTACCCGTATGAAGAAGACCGGTGAAGCTGCGCAGTTGGAGGAAACGAATAAATATAATCCAGACCAGAGATTATCTGAAACCAAAAGAACCCTACGAATAACAACAAATCCCTCAGATTTTCTAGCTCTTCCAATGGAATTTTGAACTCTAGACCAGTAATAAAAAACAATTGAATCTAAAATGAAGAAGATCCAAAAAAATATAAAGTGTTTTCAGTTGTATCGAGACAAAAAAAATTGGAAGAAATTATGAATCACGCAATCATCTAAATCTAAACACAAACCACAGCTGACTATTAAATCGAAGTAAGAATGTGGCCTTCAAATGCCCGACCACGAAACCTTAAATGAGAAGTGTGCAGGCATAGATCTATTCAGTATTACAAAACTAATCACAAAGTAATAACTATTCTAGAAATGCCTAGCCGTAATCGGTGAAGAACGAAGAACTCGATCCAATCATAGAGTTAGAGAGAGAGAGAGAGAGAGGAGTGAGCTGAATATGAGATTGTAGAGAGAGCGAGAAAGAGAAACAAAGAAGCGAAAGCGAAAAATGGAGGAGAGAGATGGCAGTAGGAGAGAAAAAGATGGGAGAGGAAGACTTGGACTCACCACCAGAGTTGACTCAGTTGAGCAACCAATCTGTCCGTGGGACCCACGGAATTCTTACCCTCGATTCTCATTCGATTAAACTCTAAATTACAAAATTACAATTAAGTTCACTTAATTCTATAATCAACCCACTATTGATTAAATTCATCCAATTTTTTACTATTAGGATTTTTTTTATACCTCATCTCACACAACCTATAAGAAAATATACTCAAATTAATTATCTAGTATAGATCTCTAGAGTGACATTCAAGTTAGTATTAATTTTAAGTTTATTTTATTTTGTTGTACGTATTTTTTCATCAATAACAATAATTTTTATTTAAATATTATACATATTATATATAAGACTAAATATATACAAATACACAAACTTAACTTACTATTTTTTTTTGTTGAAGAGAAATTCACATTTAGAATCTAGTTGTTGGTATTTTGGCACATCTTGAAAGATTCAAATTTTTATTCAAATCAAAGAACACTCAAATTTTAACGTAAATCACCAATAGTTAAATTTTAATCTAATGGTTATATTCTATCCTTTTTTAAATTGGGTTTTCCTCATTTAAATTTGGTGTAGGTAATCAAAAACATATATGAAAGCGTAAAATCAAAAACGTACCTGTTTTGCGTTTTAATCCAAAAATGTTTGAGAATGTTCCACGTTTTCTTAGAATCTAAAAATTGTCTCTTTTTTATTGCTCGAGCATTATGGTGTTTTCACACATGAAGAATCAACATCATATTTCCACAACACAAACCTTTTAAGGTTATGTAGAAAGAGAGGGAGAGTTTTAACGGTAAGAGTCTTTCTGATGATATCTATTAGGTTGTCTCAGAGTTTATATAGGCAACCAATAGTTGTCTTTAAGAGACACATCCTATAGTACATGTCTGTCAACCTTTAACATATATATATACAACGATCGGGAGTATTGAGACCAATTTATATGTACCTCAATTAATCTCCTCCTTGATCTAGTCAAAGGCAAGTCATCCACACCGGGATTAGGGTATTCATGAAGAATAAATCTTTCATATATATATTTTTTTAACTCAGGCGACAGGTACAAAGTCATGTACTTTTAAGGCAAAAGGTCCATAAAATACAAAGTTAACAAAATACGCTTAATGAATGAGGTTATTTAAAAATTCCACAATATCCCATTACCACCAGCCATCCCCCACCTCCGATAGGTCGGAGCCAGAAAATCGTTTCAGGGTGGGCTCTGAATATTTTAATAAGCTTAATTTTTTTTTCTTGCAATTGATAAAATAGGATAATACATTTATTTTTAATTACATCCTATTTAATTCTTAAAAGTTCATTATACTTTAAAGACTAAAATTGATAAGCATAGTAAATAAAAATGACAAAAAAAAATTGTAATTATATCTTTTTACAAAGCTATTGAGAATCAAGACACTATCTAGAATATAGAGAGGAGTCTGAGCACTGCAGGTAAGAGCCTCACTGAGATGAATGTAAATTTTGATCACAAGGAGGAAATCAATCAAGAGAAGAGTTGTTGTGAGATATTTTTGCATAGGAGTTTTGTTGGGACTTTACCTACTAAAAATTTGGTATCAAGTGATGGAAGACCTCCATTAACAGAAGACTATACCAATCGGTGACTGTTAGTCGTTAGAACAAAGTGTTGTAGATAATTTCATTATCATGTTATCATTTATTTTGATGTAATCTAGTCCTTAATTCTTGTATGTTCTTAGCTGGTATAAATGAGAGAAAGTTTATACCTCTCCTCACCAATTTTGGCTGAGGTCATATTACTTGTTTTCAATTCTCTTCATGGTATCAGAGCCAGATAGTACCTCAACTAAAATGGCTACTTCTATTACTCTCGAAAATCTCTCTTTACTCTCTTCTATGGTGAATGTTAAACTCACCTCTAAGAATTATTTGACTTGGAGGAGTCAAATTCTTGACATTACTATTGGGGCTGATATCTTAGATCACTTAACCAATTATGCTTAGCATCCAAAACCAATGATAACTGGAAAGGATGAAACTAATCCCGCCTACACTACCTGGAGAAAGACCGACCGATCGTCTACTGTCTCATCTCCGGTACAGTTTTTGAAAGTATACTAAGTCATATAATAGGTCTAGAATCATCACTTAAGGTATGATGTTATTTAGAACAAAGTTTTGTTTCCACTTCTGAGGCAAAAGAATTCAATCTTAAATGTGATCTACAACGAATTCACAAAGAAAATTTTGAATCTGTGGCATATTTTTTGGCCAAATTCAAGCAAATTTGTGATGAACTTAGTGCTATAAAGAAGACCATGATTGATTCTGATAAGGTAATGTGGGCAATGAATGGTCTAGGACCAAAATTTGATCCACTAATCAATGTAATCATGGCAAAACCCCCATTCCCCACATTCTCACAATTTGTTCAGTCTTTAACAAGTTACTAAGCAAGGAATAAACTACACCCTAACAATGAAGAAGTTCATGATTTTCAAGCTTTTTATGCTCAGAAGGATAACTATAGATAAGGAGTTAACAACAACTTCAACAAATCCAAAGGAAAGAATGTCACATTCAGTTCAAGAGGGCATGGCTTTAAGCAAACACCTAGTACCAGGGATCAGCAAGTGAAAGGCATACAACAAGACAACACTAAATGTAA